CACGCGTCACCGTCCTCACAGCGCTGGTGCTTTGCCCTCACTTGGCTTTTCTTTGATCACGGGTCCAACAGCACCCTTGGATTTTGCTGGCCCTCCAGGCAATTCAGAACAGGAGGCTGAGAGCCAGGAGGAGACCCCTGGTTATCACTCGAGAAAACACAAGCAGTGTCAGTCCACCGTCGACCCCAAACACTCCCATCTGAAGCTTCCTCACATATCCAAAGTAAGAAGTGTGATACTACCTCCTCGACCACTGAAGACGCCAGCTTTGCATCATGCCTGACAAGGGCCCCCAGCTGTGCCTGTGAGCTCTCTCCAGCATCACCAGTGAAAGACTTATCTTCATCACTTTCTAAGAATTCTGGTGGTGAGGCTTGTAAAGCAGAAAAATCTAATTCTGATTCAGAATACGAAAGTGCTGAGGAACTTGACCTCCCTCTTGAACCCACTTCCATTGTTACAGTTCAGTCATCTACTAAAAGGTCTCAAAAGTCCATGAGGTTGAGGCTACAAAGCAAGAGGCAAGCATGACACTTGGTGTATTAGAGACCTCTGATGACACTTCAGTCCATGAAGGAAGTCCTCTCACACACACAGCCCCTGCTTATCTCCCCAACACATCCCTTGACCCCTCTGACCCCACTGGAGTCAAATTCATCCCACATTCCAAGGACCCCCTCATCACCTCAACCCCCAAAACCCGTCCAGCCCTCATCCCCTCAACCCCCAAAACCCACCCAGCCCTCATCCCCTCAACCCCCCAAACCCATCCAGCCCTCATCCCCTCAACACCCAAAGCCTACCCAGCCCTCACCCCTCCTCATCCCCTCTCCTTCCATGTGACCCCCCACCCTTGCGAGGGGGGTGGGAGGTTCCCCCCACCCCCTCTATCCCTCCCAACCTCTCAACCTCTGACTCCCAACCTTACGCTATCTCCCAACCCCTCTATGCCCTCCCTAATCTTCAGACCCAGTATGCCCTTCCTACTCCAGACCTACCTACCCAGGCCCTACCCCAGACCCTCCTCCCTACCTTCCTAGAAGCCCAGCCCCCAGTAGCCCCCCAAGCACCCCTCCTGAACTCCCCCGGACCCTCCCCGCCCCCAGTCATCCCCCAGACACCCCCCAGATCCCCCCTGCCCCCAGTCACCCCCCAGACATCCCCCAGATCCCCAGAGAAAGGGAGAACTCTGGTACAAGAGTTTCCATGAAGAATCTCAAGGTTTGGTACACCAATGCTGATGGGGTATCTAATAAAGCAGAAGAGATAAAAGAAAGAGTGAGTGAAGCAGATCCTGACATAGTTGCAATTGTGGAAACTAAAATTAATGACATGATCTCAGATGCAATCTTTCCTGAAGGGTACCAGGTGATACGAAAAGAGAGGACACAGAGACAGGGAGGGGGAGTAGCACTCCTAATAAAGCGGAAATGGAAGTTTGAAGACCTGGGAAATCGAGTTACCAATGAGTGCACAAGCTTCATACATGGAACTCTGACAGTAGATGGGAGGAAGATTGTGATCTTGGTAATCTACAATCCCCCACCAAACAGTAGAAGACCCAGGCAGGAGTATGATGACAACAACAAAGCATGTATAGATGAACTGCAGAAGGCAGCAACACTAGCCCACAGAATGAGAGCGAAGCTGCTGATCATGGGGGACCTAAATCATGGAGAGATAAATTGGGAATCAAGGAATCCCCATGAAGGGGACGAAACGTGGGGAGCAAAATTAGTAGATGTTATAGACAGGAATTTCCTGACACAACATGTGAAGGAAGACACAAGGGAAAGAGGAGGAGATACACCGAGCCTATTAGACCTGATTTTCACCCAGAACGTAGAAGATATCAAGAATTTAGAGCATGAAATACCTCTAGGGGCCAGTGACCATTGTGTCCTAGTCTTTGACTACATGATGGAATTCAAACTTATGACCATGGGACAAGAGATCTGGGAAAGGAGAGCTGACTACAGGAAAGGGGACTATATGAGGATAAGGGACTATCTGGGTGAAGTGCAGTGGGAGGAAGAAATTAGAGGAAAAACAGTCCAAGATATGATGGACCTAGTCATACAGAAGTGCCAGGAGGCCGAAGAGAGATTTATACCAACGGTAAAGGGAAAAAATAAGAAGGAATATAATAACCCATGGTTTAATAGACAGTGTCAGGAAGCAAAAATGGCCAGCAGGCGGGAGTGGAGGAAGTACAGAAGACAAAGGACAGAGGACAACAGAAGCAGATACAACAGAGCTAGGAACGATTACATTAACATAAGACGAACATAGGAAAGGGACTATGAGAACGATATTGCAATCAAAGCGAAAAAGCATCCTAAGTTACTGCACAGTCATATAAGAAGAAAAATGTCGGTCAACGACCAAGTGACACGACTAAGGAAAATAGAGGGGGCATATACTGAAAGTGACAAGGAAATCTGCGAGGCACTGAATGCCAGATTCTATGGAGTGTTCACTACTCCCTGAGCAGCTCCCATTGTTGGAAGGGGTTACCCTAGATGAAAGACTATCATATATAGAGGTGACAGCAAAGGAGGTAATGAAACAGTTGACAACTCTAGATGCAACTAAAGCAGTTGGACCAGACAAAGTATCACCGTGGATACTAAAAGAAGCAGCGCCGGCCCTCAGCGTGCCTCTGGCAATGATCTTTAATGAGTCACTTATGTCAGGAGAATGGCCCAGTTGCTGGAAGAAGGCAAATGTCGTGCCGATCTTCAAGAAAGGCGATAGGGAGGAGGCACTTAACTGTAGACCTGTATCACTGACAAGTATCCCCCTGTAAAATACTGGAAAGAATAATTAGGCTACGACTGGTTGCACACCTGGAGAGCTTTAGGTTTGTGAACAAACATCAACATGGGTTCTGGCGAGGGAAATCGTGCCTAACAAACCTTTTGGAATGCTTTGATAAAATAACGAGGATAAGACAGGACAGAGATGGTTGGGCGGACTGCATATTTCTGGACTGCCAAAAAGCCTTTGATCGCACATGAGACTGCTGTTCAAGCTCGAGAGGCAGGCGGGGGTGGGGGGAAAGGTCCTAGCATGGATAAGGAACTACCTGACAGGAAGGAGCCAAAGAGTTACGGTAAGGGGCGAGAAGTCGGACTGGCGAACAGTAACAAGTGGAGTACCACAAGGATCGGTGCTGGGACCAATTCTATTTCTTGTATATGTTAACGACATGTTTACAGGCGTAGAGTCCTACATGTCGATGTTTGCGGATGATGCAAAGTTGATGAGAAGAGTTGTGACAGATGAGGATTGCAGGATCCTCCAAGAGGACCTGAACAGATTGCAGAGATGGTCAGAGAAATGGCTACTAGAGTTCAACACGAGCAAATGTAAAGTTATGGAAATGGGACTAGGAGATAGGAGACCAAAGGGACAGTACACAATGAAGGGGAACAGCCTACCTGTAACGACGCGTGAAAGAGACCTGGGGGTGGACGTAACACCTAATCTATCTCCTGAGGCACATATTAATAGGATAACGACAGCAGCGTACTCTACACTGGCAAAAGTTAGAACATCATTCAGAAACCTAAGTAAGGAGGCATTTAGGGCGCTTTACACTGCCTACGTAAGGCCAGTCTTAGAGTATGCCGCCTCATCATGGAGTCCCCATCTGAAGAAGCATATAATGAAACTGGAAAAGGTTCAGAGGTTTGCAACGAGACTCGTCCCAGAGCTACGAGGGATGGGGTATGAGGAGCGCCTGAGGGAACTGTGCCTTACGACACTAGAAAGAAGAAGGGAGAGGGGGGACATGATAGGAACGTATAAGATACTCAGAGGGATTGACAGAGTGGACATAGACGAAATGTTCACACGGAATAGTAACAGAACGAGAGGACATGGATGGAAGCTTGAAACTCAGATGAGTCACAGAGATGTTAGGAAGTTTTCTTTTAGCGTGAGAGTAGTGGGGAAATGGAATGCACTTCAGGAACAGGTTGTGGAAGCAAATACTATTCATAATTTTAAAACCAGGTATGATAGGGAAATGGGACAGGAGTCATTGCTGTAAACTACCGATGCTCGAAAGGCGGGATCCAAGAGTCAATGCTCGATCCTGCAGACACAACTAGGTGAGTACATACACACACACCCACACACTCACTCACTCACACTCTCTCTCACTCACTCACACTCTCTCTCACTCACTCTCACTCATTCACTCACTCACACTCTCACTCATTCACTCACTCTCACTCATTCACTCACTCACACTCTCACTCACTCACTCACACTCACTCACACTCTCACTCACTCACACTCTCACTCACTCACACTCTCACTCACTCACACTCTCACTCACTCACTCACTCACTCACTCACTCACTCACTCACTCACTCACTCACTCACACTCACTCACACTCTCACTCACTCACACTCTCACTCACACTCTCACTCACTCACTCACACTCTCTCTCACTCACACTCTCTCTCACTCACTCACACTCTCTCACTCACACTCACTCACACTCACTCACACTCACTCACTCACACTCACTTACTCACACTCACTCACTCACACTCTCACTCACTCACACTCTCACTCACTCACACTCTCACTCACTCACACTCTCACTCACTCACACCCTCACTCTCTCTCTCTCTCACTCTCTCTCACTCTCTCACTCACACTCACTCTCTCTGAGAATTAGTACCAGTTGTTTTTGAGAGTCGTGTAGTTAGTGAAGAGAGTACTTCAGTAATACTAGCTAAATAAAGTGATAACTTGGCACTTCAATATTGTGAAAAGTTAGAGTACTGTGTGTGACTCATTACTGACTGTAACCAAAACTGAAATTATTGAAGAATCTATAAACAAAATTACCGATCTTTCAGATGAGCAAGTGACTAATTCTGGTAGTGAGGTGACTGGAGTGTTAACTTTCAATATTTGTGCTCAGTCGACAGAAAATCAATGTATCTCATTAACATTTGGAAATAGTACTGTTAATAGTGAAGAATCTAGTAATACTGATTTGGAAATTGTAAATTGCAAAACGCAGGCATCTGAATCTCAACCAGAAAAGTTAATAAAAAGGGAAATAAAAGAAAGTGAAGATCATTTGGACACGCCCGATAATTATAAATACAAAGTCAAAGACAATGGAAGCAATTGTGATCTTCAGTCCAGTGATCAAATTGAAAGCAAAACCAATGAAAATTAACATGAAAGTGTAGTACAAACTGACAATCAGATCCTCAGTGAAGATCCAAACAGCTGTAAAACTGCTGTGAATCCTGCTGTTTGGAAAAACTTACAGAAAAAAACAAAACCAATTCTAATCCGACGGTGAAAAAAAAATCTAATCTTAAGTCCGACGGTTAAATTGTAAACAAAAGCAGTGAAAATGTAGTACAAGCTGACATTTAAGTCATCGGGGAACATCAGAGTAACTCAAATATCATTGAAGTTGCAGAAAATTTGCAAAGTGAACAGATAGACAATCAGCAAAGTAAAGATACAGTAAATAACAACTCAGAGTCAGCCTTTGAGGAGAAATTGTTAAGTATAGAAACCTTGGAGGCACCTCAAGAGGAACCACCACCACCACCACTATCAGATAACTTCACAGATCCAGAGGATGTACTTATTATTACACAGAAGAGCTATAATCTTGACGTTCTTGACAATTTAAATGATCCTAACTTTAATCCATTTCCCACAAAGACTTACATTAGAAGCCCTCCACTGCCAAGCCCAGAGCCTGGTTGTAAACTTCCTCTATTGAAACCTGCAATACAAAAAAAAAGGAAGTTACGAGAAGAACCTACTGAAAAAGCTCCTCCAGAGCCGAAGCCTATTGAGAAAAACAGCAACAGGCTTGAGGAAAAAACTGAGCCTGAAACCAAATTTGACCAAGACCAACTTCCTATTCGCCCCATCAAAGGGATACAGTTTATATTTTCTTGACTCTCTTCATTATCCAAACGTCAATTCCTTTGCAACAAAGTGTTCTGTAAGTAATTCGCCTCCTAAAGATCTTGCACTTACAGAAGACAAAAGTGAGGAAAACCAAAGGCTAGTCTACCAAAGAAAGCCCCCCGGAAAGAAAGGATTTACTGTCGTTAAGAACAAAGCCAAAATTAAAGTACCTTCTATAGATGACACAGATTTACCTAAGGAAATAGTTAATGTTCCTGAACACTCGGATAAAGGTGTGAATAAATTGGAAAATCTCATAAAGTTTGCTGAAGAGAAAGAAGATACACCTATAACGCTAAAAAAGATCATAATCTCGATTTTAAAGATGATCCCAACTTTGATCCTTTCCAGTCAAGATCGTCTCTAAACAAAAATACTTCAACTCTTCGTGAATCTAACTCTTCTAATATAGTGCCAAAAAATATTGACATTGCCAAAGTTAATTCTGTGAATATTGAGACAAAATCTGATACCGAATGTGATAAAGATAGTGCTACAGATTTTAGGACACAAGTTGAGTATAGCAAAGACTCAGTCAGAAGCTTTTCAAGAAAACATAAAAGAAGAATCTTTATTAGTAATAAGATTGAGAAGGAAGATAAGCCAGAGGTTATAGAATCTAATATTTCTGAAAAAGAAACCCGTGTTTCAATAGGAGATACGCAGGGTTGTGACGAGAAGTCATTAATTTCATTATCAGAGGATGAATGTTCAGCGGTGCTAAATAAAAATCCTGAACCAAAACTAGATTTAGAAACTGAAGAATATACAAAGAAAGAAATTAAGGAGAATCTCTAATACAGAAATAGAAATAAACCTTCCCAAAGTTGCATCCATTGGTACAATTGGTCAACTTAACAGTCTTGAGTTTGCCCAGCTGCTTGGCAATGAAGCCAGTCGTCTTGCTAAGGTGTTTATTAACTGCTCCACTGATTCTGGATTGCCTGATTCAGATGAGAGCAGTTATATCAAGCCCCACAACGTAGTCTACCATGGCAGACATGAATTTTGCAAAGTCACCACAGTATGGAGTTCATCTTGATGAAAATGTCAACCCCTTTCAAAAACATTCAAGGTTATCAGGGTCTCCACCGTTGGGCAAAAGAGAGAGGCAGTTTGTGGAGCAGAAAGTGGAGATGTTCCTAATGTGCACAACCCCTTCAAGGCAAGATCCTCACCGAAACAAGTGTGTGTCACGGGAGAGGAAAGACTGGACACTTTAAGTCTAGATGATGACTCTAGAATAGTGCTGGGAACTAGTTCCGACTTTGAGACAGAATCATAGTGAAGCTGGACCTGAAAATGCAACAGGTCTTACCTCTAGTGACCTTAGATGTGCATCACAATTGAATACTGAAGATGCAGAAGAAATGCGTGATCAAATTACAGATGAAGAGTTCCTTGCCTCGCAAGCATTTTTCAAAAAAGCGACTGATATGGAGAACCAGCTGCGTAAATCTTTGGCAACACCATTGATGGGAAGTCACAGTAAATTAAGTGGAGATGACGTGAGGCCCACCAGAGACAGAAGAGATCACCCAGCAGTTACTCCGGTCTCGCCACAACACAAGTCCCGTGCACATCTTCCCCTGCTCCACTGCGTGAGGAAAGATCAGCTCCTGAAGGGACCAGTAGTCTTACACTCCATCTGAGTGATACCACTGATGAGCCCAAGTCCTCATCATCACGTCCTTCTTCCATCCCACCGCTGCCACCAGTATTCTGCTTGATGGTTATCTTGAGATGATTTCGGGGCTTTAGTGTCCCCGCGGCCCGGTCCTCGACCAGGCCTCCACCCCCAGGAAGCAGCCTGTGACGGCTGACTAACACCCAGGTACCTATTTTACTGCTAGGTAACAGGGGCATAGGGTGAAAGAAATTTTGCCCAATGTTTCTCGCCGGCGCCTGGGATCGAACCCAGGACCACAGGATCACAAGTCCAGCGTGCTGTCCGCTCGGCCGACCGGCTTCCTTGACGGTTGATGGTTGTTGCTTGGAACTTGCTTGGGACTGAAGAGAGATTCGCTGTAGATCGCTTCACGGGACTTTATTGAATAAGTTAAATGAGATAGTTCTGAAGCTACAAGGTCCTACCCTGACTTGGGTCTGAGAGATAATGACGGCTCTATGAGATACTGCCGCTCTATGAGAAATGTCAGGCCTAGCTGCCTCAGGATTGGCTATACATCAACCGTCTACAAATTGAAGTATGGCGCGTACACACAAAACCAACAAACACACACACACACACAAAACACACGCACACGCGAAATATTATCTCTTTCCTGGTCATGTGTCTCTGAAGGAATACCTGTCTGTAATTCGTTACATATTTCAGTTTGCTCTTTTTTGCTAGGATGTCCTCTTTGATGCTCTCGTTTCTGAGCACTACCTTGATCAACCAGTCTTTGTTGTACTGGCCAATCCGGAATACCTTCTCTGTCTGTTTCATCCCCTTCTATACCTATCTCCTTTAGTATCCCTGCCACTGCAACTTTGTCCTTAGACCTCCATTCTTCCCTTGAGGACCAAGAGGGTTCCACAACTGTAACCTGAAAACACTAAACAGAGTCAGCTAATCCGTCATACTTATACTCGCATTTGGGTAAGGTGATATGGTGCAACAGTTTTGGATGAGGTGAACAAACTTGTGACATACAAGACAGAACACGGAACTATGGGTAGTAATTGGATATGAGAACATAAGAATGGAAGTAACTGCAGAGAGCCTATTGGCCCATACTTCCTCTTGATGCATCTATATTGGTTCGGAGTCTTGAAAGTGGGTAGAATATAGTTGTGTATTAATTGGCAGTATAAAGTATTCAGTTCGCGTGAGTGCATAAGAGTGTGAGGGGTGGCAGGAAGAGGCGTGGAGAGTGGGTGGAGGCGTGGAGAGTGGGTGGAGAGGGCGTGGAGAGGGCGTGGAGAGGGCGTGGAGAGGGCGTGGAGAGTGAGTGGGGAGTGGGTGGAGAGGGCGTGGGGAGTGGGTGGAGAGGGCGTGGGGAGTGGGTGGATAGGGCGTGGGAGAGGGCGTGGATAGTGGGTGGGAAAGGGCGTGGATAGTGGGTGGGAGAGGGCGTGGATAGTGGGTGGGAGAGGGCGTGGATAGTGGGTGGGAGAGGGCGTGGGGAGTGGGTGGGAGAGGGGGTGGTAGAGGGCGTGGGGGGAGGGGGTGGGAGAGGGCGTGGGGAGTGGGTGGGAGAGGGCGTGGATAGTGGGTGGGAGAGGGCGTGGATAGTGGGTGGGAGAGGGCGTGGATAGTGGGTGGGAGAGGGCGTGGGGGAGGGGGTGGGAGAGGGCGTGGGGAGAGGGGGTGGGAGAGGGCGTGGATAGTGGGTGGGAGAGGGCGTGGATAGTGGGTGGGAGAGGGCGTGGATAGTGGGTGGGAGAGGGCGTGGGGAGTGGGTGGGAGAGGGCGTGGGGGGGAGGGGGTGGGAGTGGGTGGGAGAGGGCGTGGGGAGTGGGTGGGAGAGGGCGTGGGGGGAGTGGGTGGATAGGGCGTGGAAGAGGGCGTGGATAGTGGGTGGGAAAGGGCGTGGATAGTGGGTGGGAGAGGGCGTGGATAGTGGGTGGGAGAGGGCGTGGGGAGTGGGTGGGAGAGGGCGTGGGGGGAGGGGGTGGGAGAGGGCGTGGGGGGAGTGGGTGGGAGAGGGCGTGGGGGGAGTGGGTGGGAGAGGGCGTGGGGGGAGGGGGTGGGAGAGGGCGTGGGGGGAGGGGGTGGGAGAGGGCGTGGGGGGAGGGGGTGGGAGAGGGCGTGGGGGGAGGGGGTGGGAGAGGGCGTGGGGGGAGGGGGTGGGAGAGGGCGTGGGGGGAGGGGGTGGGAGAGGGCGTGGGGGGGAGGGGGGTGGGAGAGGGCGTGGGGGGGGGGGGGGTGGGAGAGGGCGTGGGGGGGAGGGGGTGGGAGAGGGCGTGGGGGGAGGGGGTGGGAGAGGGCGTGGGGGGAGTGGGTGGGAGAGGGCGTGGGGGGAGTGGGTGGGAGAGGGCGTGGGGGGAGTGGGTGGGAGAGGGCGTGGGGGGAGGGGGTGGGAGAGGGCGTGGGGAGTGGGTGGGAGAGGGCGTGGGGGGAGGGGGTGGGAGAGGGCGTGGGGGGAGGGGGTGGGAGAGGGCGTGGATAGTGGGTGGGAGAGGGCGTGGGGAGAGGGCGTGGGGAGAGGGCGTGGGAGAGGGCGGGGGGGAGGGGGGGGAGAGGGCGTGGGAGAGGGGTGGGGGGAGGGGGTGGGAGAGGGCGTGGGGGGGAGGGGGTGGGAGAGGGGGTGGGAGAGGGCGTGGGGGGAGGGGGTGGGAGAGGGCGTGGGGGGGGGAGGGCGTGGGGAGTGGGTGGAGAGAGGGCGTGGGGGGAGGGGGTGGGAGAGGGCGTGGGGGGAGGGGGTGGGAGAGGGCGTGGGGGGGAGGGGTGGGAGAGGGCGTGGGGGGAGGGGGGTGGGAGAGGGCGTGGGGGGAGGGTGGGAGAGGGCGTGGGGAGTGGGTGGGAGAGGGCGTGGGAAGGGGGTGGAGGCGTCAGGTAACACCACAATGAGCCCAACACCTTCCCTCCACCGCTTTCTCCCGTGACGTCACCAAGGGTCAGGTGACCAGTGACGTCACAGCTTAGACAGGTAGGGCAGACGACCAGCTGATGCTGTAGCTAGTGGCACACTAAACCGGTCCTAAACTGCACGTTCTAAAGGTCGCGTGCAACACAAACAAGCTACAACGATTTGAAGCTCAACACGCCTCACTGTAGGACTGGGAACAGGAGGTACTTTTTCACCCACAGGGTTATAAACCCATGCAACCGCCTACCCGCCGAAGCCGTAAAATGCAAAAACTGTGTTCAGTTTTAAAATCTACCTGGAAAAGATCAAGGCAAATGGGGGGGGAGGGGAGTAACTTCGACAAGCCGCTGGCTTCCTGTCCTCGTCGAGGCCACTAGGGTTAGTGGTCCTCGGGTAAATCAGGTACTGTAAAGAAGAAACCATATTTGTCTTCACTAGTTTTAACCCGTCGGCTAAGTTAGGTGACTTGTACTTTCAATGTTAAAACTTCTTAGGCTAGAGATATCTTGCTGCTTCCCTCCGCCTCCAGAAGGGTGAGGTGTGACGCTTCTGGGGGCTAGACAAGACCAGGAGGGTGAGGTGCGACGCTTGTCCACGCTGGACATCAACCACAACCTTCTGGGGGCTGGACATGACCAGAAGGGTGAGGTGTGACGCTTGTCCACGCTGGACATCAACCACAACCTTCTGGGGGCTGGACATGACCAGAAGGGTGAGGTGTGACGCTTGTCCACGCTGGACATCAACCACAACCTTCTGGGGGCTGGACATGACCAGAAGGGTGAGGTGTGACGCTTGTCCACGCTGGACATCAACCACAACCTTCTGGGGGCTGGACATGACCAGAAGGGTGAGGTGTGACGCTTGTCCACGCTGGACATCAACCACAACCTTCTGGGGGCTGGACATGACCAGAAGGGTGAGGTGTGACGCTTGTCCACGCTGGACATCAACCACAACCTTCTGGAGGCTGGACAAGACCACTCAACACCGGAAGGACACGAAATTTAACTTTTAACTCATTGCGGATGTTGCACAGCACTTGATCTTGTCTGGCCCCTTCCGTGGTCCACGGCCGGTGTTCCTTGTCCCATGGCCAGTGTTGGCCAGTGTTGCTGGGTGTCTGGGGTGTGCGTGTCGGTGGTGGTCAGTCTCTGGGGTGTCTGGGTGGGTGTCTGGGGGGTGTGCTGGGTGTGCTGGGGTGTGCTGGGTGTCGGGGGTGTGCTGGGTGTCTGGGGTGTGCTGGGTGTCTGGGGTGTGCTGGGTGTCTGGGGTGTGCTGGGGTGTCTGGGTGTCTGGGGTGTGCTGGGTGTCTGGGGTGTGCTGGGTGTCTGGGGTGTGGGTGTCTGGGGTGTGCTGGGTGTCTGGGGTGTGTGTGTGTGTGTGTGTGTGTGTACTCGCCTAGTTGTACTCACGTAATTGTGCCTGCGGGGGTTGAGCGTTAGCTCTTTGGTCCCGCTTCTCAACCGTCAATCAACTGGTGTACAGATTACTGAGCCTACTGGGCTCTATCATATCTACACTTGAAACTGTATGGAGTCAGCCTCCACCTAGTGCATTCCATTTATTAACTACTGACACTGAAAAAGTTCATTCTAATGTGTCTATGGCTCATTTGGGTACTCGGCTTCCTCCTGTCCCCCCTTGTGCATGTACCACCCGTGCTTAAATAATCCATCCTTGTCCACGCTGTCAATTCCCCCGAAAATTTTGTATGTGGTGATCATGTCTCCCCTAGCTCTTCTGTCTTCCAGCGACGTGAGGTGCAGTTCACGTAGTCTGTCCTCGTAACTCATGCCTCTTAGTTCTGGAACTAACCTAGTGGCATACCTCTGTACTTTTTCCAGCTTCGTCTTGTGCTTGACTAGATACGGGCTCCATGCTGGTTCTGTATACTCCAGGATTGGTCTTACATATGTGGTATACAAGGTTCTGAAGGATTCCTTACACAGGTTTCTGAAAGCAGTTCTGATGTTAGCCAGCCTCGCATAGGCCGCTGATGTTATTCTGTGTGTGTGTGGGGGGCCCAGCTCTCTCTCTCTCTCTCTTTCTCTTGCCTGATT